GTGCATGCGATTTCTGATACTATGGTTTTGTAATATAATTTAGTTAATATCTTTTCTGTATGGGGGAATGGTCTAGTCTACTGGTGGTGCTTTCCACTGTGGTTTTTATTTGAGTCATTGAGTTTTTTATTTCTTTTGTTTTGGTCTTTTGAGACAGGGTCTCCCTGTAGCTCCTCCTGGCCTGGAACTCACTATGTAGACCAGGCTGGCCTTAAACTCATAGAGATCCACCTGCCTCTGCCTCCTGAGTGCTGGGATTAAAGGAGTGCACCACTGAGCCCAGCTATTATTATTTTTAAAATCAAAGAATAGCTTCTATAAATTTATCATGACCTCAAAAGAAGCACAGCCCATAGTTTGAAAAACCAAGACACTCTATGACCCTTTATAAACTATAAAGATGATGTATCTGAGAAACAGAATGAAAAGTTAATTTGAAAGTAAAGTGCAGCAAATAGGTTTTATTCTAACCCATTTGGAAGCCTCAGTAGGCCCATCACCAGTCCAAGGAGAAGGAACACCGTGAATATAGACAGGAGCTCTAATCACTTCTGGCTCTCTTTTCCAAAGTAGGCAGCCAGTTTCGCTGGACCACTGGCTCAGTTGTACCCTAGTGGATAAGACTGCCATTTTCCAAACTTGCTTGCATGTTAGAAGTACTTAAAACATTCATATATAATATTTTATTTGTTTGATCTATCTTAATCTACCTCCAAAATACAAGCTCTTCACAAATGAATAAAATGTAAGTTCTTTGTGAGTCTTATTATTCCTCCGACTTTCCATGTTTAAAAAGAACCAGACACACAGTAAGAACTCAAGGTGTATGTAGGGCTGGGGTGAGGGCTTAGCTGTGCAAACATGAGGACCAGAGTTCAGATTTCAAGCACCCATATAAAAGCCAGGTTTGACTGCATGGGCTGGTGTCCCAGTGATGACAAGATGGGAGTGGGTCAGGCAGATTCTTGGAAGCTCATAAGCTAGCGAAATCCAAGGCCAACAAGAAACCCTGTTTTAAACAAAAGATAGAAGATGTCTGAGGACTGATACCCTGAATTGTCCTCTGACCTCCATGTGTGAACATGTGCACATATACACACATATGGTCTGCTATAGTTTAATGTGGCATTTCATTTATTTTTTCCATTAAAAACTCATGCTTGGAAACATTCACAATATTAACTGAACTCAGTAAGAGATCAGTTTCATGTTTTGGATATTAAGAAGATAGTCAATATAATTATGTTCAAAATTATTCAGCCCCAAACTTACAAATATTTGGTCTTCAGATGTTTACACACAGTTTTGGGTATAAAGTTGTTTGGCTTCAAGAAAGAACATTTTGTTGACGTCACTAATAGGAATATCTCTTAATGCTGGGATGGCATCTTCTTGGTAGTTCTTCTGTTGCTGATTTTTAGCATAGCTATCTGTAAGAAAGGAACAAAAGCCCATTGACTCAAGCAAGTTTTCCTATACTCTACAGCTGGCGAAGAGCTACCATACTGTTCTCCAGGCTGATACGTGGACAACAAATGCCGTGCGTTATTAGTTACTTGTCTTGTTGATGCAAAATATGTGACAAAAGCAGTGTCACCTGGCCTACAGCTCCACTGGGGGATCCAGCCCACCATGGGGAAGGACGGCAGCAGGAGCATGAGGGGCTGGTCATGCCACGTCTGCCGTCAGCAGGCAGGCAGGGACAATGCAGATACTCAGTTTGCTTTCTCCTTTTTATTCAGTCCCAGACTCCAGCCGGTCGAATGGTGCCACCACAGTTAGGATGAGTCTTCATACCTCAGTCAACCCAATCTCAATAATCCCTCACAGACACGCTCAGATGCTTGTTTCCACGGTGATTCTAAATCCCAGCAAGTTGACAATCAACCATGTTTAACAGCACTGTTTACTTAAATCTCCTTTCCTCATGTCTAACTTGGAAAATGATATTTCATTGCACTGTACAATGATGACTAAAATCACTTTTCACACAGAGATATAATTATATCCAAACATGAAGACATATTGAAGTCAACACCACAAAATTATTAAATCATTTGGTACAAGTAGTCATGCAAATTCAACAGTTTCCTTCTTTGCACAAATTGTCTATTTGCTGTAATACCAGTCAAGAATATAACAAACGGGGTTGGAGAGATGGCTCAGTGGTTAAGAGCACTGACTGCTCTTGCAGAGGACCTGGGTTCGATTCCCAGAACCCACATGGCAGCTAACAACTGTCTGTAATTCCAGTTCCAGGGGATCCGACATCTTCTTCTGTCCTCTGTGGGCACTGCATGACATGGGTGCACTTACATACATGCAGGCAATATACTCATATACAAAAAAATTAAATAAAAAATACTTTTTAAAAGAACAACAAATATAGTAGGCTACCAGAAACAAAACTTTAAAATACTACAACTTTCAAAATACAGAGTTCATAGGTTCTTGAACAAAGGTTTTAAAAAGTTTAAAAAAAAATCCTATTGGGGAACTTAAAAAACACTTTACTTCCTAGAATCTAAGGTAGTTCAATAATCTAAACACTTTGAATTTTGAAAGAACTTGAGAGCTGGGAACACAGCTTGGTGACAGTGTTTGCTTAGTACACAGGAGGCCCAAGCTTCAGTTCCCAGCCCCAAGGACAACTGCATATCACTTGAATGCAACAAAACCATGGAGACATGGCTCAGCAGTTAAGAGCACTGGCTGCTCCTTCAGAGGACCTGGGTTCAGTCCCTAGCACCCACTTGGTGGTTCACAACAGCTTGTAATTCCAGTTCCTGGGAATCTGATGCCCTCTTCTGGCCTCCACAGGCATCAGAAACACACATGGTGCAGATTCATACATGCAGACACTCATACACACACACAAAATAAAGTTTTTAAAACAACAACAGATGCCAGCCTGGTCTACGACAAGGGGACCGTGTCTCAAACAATCAACCAACCAACCAACCAATCAAGCCAAAACAAAACAACAAAACCAAAAATGTAGGACTGTTCTAGCCACTTAACTGAGGTAAGGTATACACAGCCAATTCCTGCTGTTGCCCATGCCTTGATTAACAACAGTATGTGAAATAAAAGAAGTTCCTCTCAGGTCATGTTTCTGAGGACCATATATACTTATATTATTATTTATTATTATTATTATTATTATTATTATTTGTCTTTTTGAGACAGGGTCTCCTTGTAGCCCCAGCTGTCCTGGAACTCACTATGTAGACCAGGCTGGCCTAGAATTCACAAAAATCTACCTGCCTCTGCCTCCCAAGTGCTGGGATTAAAGGTGTGTGCCATCACACCCGGCATTATACTTATGTTCTTAATGGTAAAACATACATGTTTATGAGGGCTACAATAAATGACAACTGATTTCTTCCAACAACATAACTAGCACGTATTTGCCCTGTATATTTCATACAACCTGGTGTTTATTTCCCCTCGCTCTTTTAATTGCCCTAAGGCAACGTCTTGCAGCCCAGTCCTGACTGCTCTACTGATAAAAGCACCTACTCCGCCTTTGTCCATTCCCAGCGTTTATTTCACATACTCACCTGTGATTGTATGAATGGAGCTGAGTGAAGAGGTGCTCATTAGGTTGATTCCAAATAAGAGTACATAGCCCATTAGGACAGCAATAAGCAGGTAGACAGGTAATGCCACCGCCCAGTATCTGAGGAAGAGAATATTAATGCACGGAACAGAGGTTACATGGTTTCCTCAAGAATCAGTCACAAACATGCTTTTAAAATTTAGATTTTTATGAAGGCAACGGATTACATAATGAAAGAGTGCCAATGAAAAGCAGCAGTCCCCCGTGACATCCATCCTGCCCCTGGCACCTCACACCTGAGATGAGCCCTTCTGCCTCAGCTCTGCTTCTGGGGGCTAATTCTTCATTTTCACACGTTAGTGGTTTCTGATGTCTTTTCGGCTTCAGGTATTTTTCTCTATATGCCTAATGTGCAGATGGGGCGTTCACCTCTTCCTCACGTCTCCAATCGTCATGTTACATTTTTATTCTATCAGCAGTTTAAAAAGGAAGCAATTGTGACGACATAAACAATACTGGCAACTGAGAACCTGAGTGTATTACGTTTCCTTGTTAATTTTTTCCTGGAATTGCACCTTTCCGTCTGTTTGGTTTCCCAGTATCTATCAATACTCCAGACTCAAATTCTTAAATGCTTCTTAATTTTTCTCTCAATACAGTAAGCACACGGTTTTGTTGGCTGTACTAATTCTTTAATTCCCTCCCTACTTTTTCCCCTTTTTCTAGAACGTCTAATAGGTTTTTTAGCCCTGTTATACATTCCTCTATTCCATTTCTGTTTTCTCTTCTGATAATTAAACTTTCAATTAAACATTTAATTTTAACTCTCAGGGTTATAATTTCTACATATGGTAATTTAAAAATATTCCTTTTGGACAGCATACTGTTCAATTCCTGGTTTATAATCCTTTCTAATCTCTGATGGTTTAATTTTGTTTAAAATTTCCTTCTGTGGCTGGCGTTATTTCCATTTAGAGTCTCTTTTTTGCTTCTGATTTAGAGCTGCAGGCTTTCTTTCACTGTCTGGTAACCGACTATAGGATAGCCCATTTATATTTAAAATCTAGGTGAAAACAAACTAACAGGAAGTAAGATGTATGTGTGGGTAGGGACGGCAGTGAGCCTTCAAGACACTTCCTTCAAATGTCAGCAAGTGCAGGGCCTGGCAGTGTACACCTTTAATCCAAATACTTGGTAGGTAGAGGCAGAGGCTGGTGGATCTCTGTTGAGATAGAGGCCAGCCTGGTCTATACAGCAAGTTCCAGGACAGCTGGAGCTACAAGGGAGACTGTGAAATCTGCTCCCCCAAAGTCAGAACTTCTAGAGCCTGTATTTGTACACTGCTCAGCGTCCTCAGAAAGGTACCTCCCATCTTTTTCTGGGAGAGGGTGTCATAAACCTTGTAACCTAGTAAGGGAAGGTAAGGACCTTATTCATCCGCACAGATGATTTATTACCATTTCTTCTGCCTCATTGCTAGTTAACTTTGGTGGCTTCCAGGATAGAAGACTCTCGACTCTTTCCACAAGAAGGGACTATTTTCCGCAGGGGAGGGCAGGGTCAATCTCCCAGGTATAAGGGAGAAGGAAGTTTGAGGTCTAATGCCCTTAAGCACATTTTTTCTGTGTAACCCAGAATTACCATTATAAAGATATGTCCATACTTTCAAGGTCTGGGGCCATTCTGGAATTCCATGACTCAAATGCTCCTGATGGCTTCCCTCCTCTAGCAATGGGGAAAAATCCAGACTCCTCTATTGCAAATTTTGTTAGTCTCTTATCTGCTATCCTATTCTTTATTTCTGTGGGCTTATACCTTTAAAAAAGATATTCCCCCACAGTATTATTTTAGCAAGATTTTTCTTGGGGTGGGGGAGTCAAGAATGTGTTTGCCCCACCATCTTTAAATAGATGTGTATTAATAATCTTCAAAGAGCTTTCAATTTTGGGTGGGGTGTTAACCCAGTGTCTAAAGCACTGGCCAGAGTTTGGCTCCCCAGAACCCAAGTACATGCTGGGTATGTATGTACCTGGGTGGCCTGTGGGCACTCAGAAGGCAGAGATGGGGGACTCTGGAGCAAGCTGGCAAGCTAGACTAACTGTGCTGGTGAGCTGCAGGTTCAAGATGAATCAAGCAAGACTCCTCGTGTCTCCACATGTACACATGGGCACCTGCACACACGTGTGCTTAGACACGTAACTATACACACACACTCCCCACATACACATGATAAAGCTTTCAATTTCTAATCAGTTATTCACGGATTTTAAAATAATAGTTAAGACTTGGGTCCCGCCGGGCGTGGTGGTGCACACCTTTAATCCCAGCACTTGGGAGGCAGAGACAGGTGGATCTCCGTGAGTTCAAGGCCAGCCTGGTCTACATAGTGAGTTCCAGGACAGCTGGAGCTACAGGGAAACCCTGTCTCAAAAAG